CCAGAATATGACAAAAAAAAAACACACACACACATTCAAAGGGAACAAGTCGGAGTTAGTTCCGGGTTCCTTAGGAGGGTCGATATCATCCTTGTATACGCTCGCGGCTGTGGTATATGTGTGTGTGTGTGTGATATCTAGCTGGTGGGAGGGAAAGAATAGGGAGGAGGAGGAGGAGGAAGATGAGGAGGAGGAGGAAGAAGAGGAGGAGGAAGAGAAGGATAAGGAAGGAGAAGGTGAGGATGAGGAGAAGTAAAATATAATTAATTAAGAGATCAATAACGAGACAGTGTGTGTGTGTAGTGTCTCCTTGAGCCTGACCCTCTGCCGAACCTCCCTATTGTTAGTCGACTTTGATCTCTCACCACCACAAGCTGGACGCCTTGACCTACTATATACATAACTGTGGCTTACTGCTAATAGTTCTGCCTGGGTCTATGTTATCATCACCGTATTGTGTTGTTCAGTGAAGGTCGCGGCATTCTATTTATATCACCTTTCTTGGTTTTACCTCGTTAACCTAGTAGTTTATTTTGGTCTCAGTATCGACAAAAGTTCGTACTAGCTATCTAAGTTAATATTAATATATGTAATAAATAAATATAAATATCATGTACGGGATATACTGTATACCGGTGTAAATGGGTGTTGTTTTAAAATGTTTCCAGACACAGTCCAAAAATTCTACGCGATATTTCTTTGTTGACAGGAGACTTTTTTTTCCTCCCTGAATGATAAAGACTAGAAAATCGAGGTGTTTGGATCCTGACGGTAAGCTTTCACTGTCAGTCACTCCTTCAGTGGAACATTATCGAAGCGCTGCAGTTTATTATTGGTAGTCTACTGTACCTCACTACTTAAAACAAGAATAAAGAAAAGGTAAAAGGAGGTACTTTTGTTGTCTTTGATCTAGCAATGGTGTGGGAGGTTTAATCTTTTTAAGAGGTTGCCGATACTTAAGCGTCTTGCTACCTGTAATTCTGGGTAATACACCTTACCCGGGCCTTAGCGTCCCCAGTCCCCGCACAAGTTAACAAGTAGTGTAAACTCCGCCCTCTAGTGCTTAACGTGATACTTCTAGCTTTTGGTTCAATTTTTTTTTTCACTTAACACTCAAGTTAAATAAATTCGACAACTTAAAAGACTGTCTCATTGAAAAAAAAAAAACACCTGAGAAGCGTAGATTTCTCCACGTATAGTTAGGCTACGAACTGCCAAATTCGGGGTACGGTACTACAGTATTTGTATTAGCGACACACTACCACTGCCGGGCGCCCATTAGGCAGGTGCGTGACAGGTGTGGTGTATCCATCAAGACACTAAGTTATTATTATCAAAAGAAACACATGACGACCATTATCGTGCTACAGGGAAGAGTCACTCGGAGTTAAATATTCATGACACGATGGGTTTATGTTGGCTTTAATGACAACAACTGCGATCTTACTTATGCATGAAGTGAGTCCCCCTGTCTGTGCCTCATTCTCCAGGTATAACCAAGTAAACTTCTTGCAACCAGTGAACAAAATGAAACAACAGCAATTCCCAGAAACGATAGAAGAGCGAGAGAGAGAGAGAGCCATGATGACCTATTCAAACTGATTCGCCCCTTCTACAGGATAATGAAACCTAAATATATTACCTGTGGTGGGGTGGCCCGTTCTCATTACCAGGTAGATCCTTTGTCAGGTAGAGTAATTACAGCCAGGAAGACCAATCGAATCTACAATCTGTCTCTCTGTGTAGCGTAAAATAACTCATTCCCGAACTACTAATTCTCTCTTTAAACAGTACACATCACGTTATGTTTCCAGTGAGTAAATTATTATCGACATGAAATTGCTATGTGTATCTTCAATAGCCTTCAGGGTTTCTATCTAAACTATGCTGGGACTCTTGCCAAAATCTGAGACTCTCTATAGCCTATAAAGGTAATAATGGAGGTGTCATTCTAGAACAGACATTCTATCTCTCTCCAGTTATCGTGTTTTTTCTCTCTCTAACATTCTTCTATGTAATTCTGTCTTTGTGTTTCGTCATACGGAAACACATAGTTTTGTCTTTGCTAAAACTTCCTCAGAATTGGTATCATCTTCGTCAGTGCCTCCTTCAGTTTGTTAGATTCCAAGCATAAAAACGGTGTTGCCAAGCCATACCTGAACCAGTGTTAACCAATCAACATTTCTCCTATTAGTTTAGATTCCCTCTTTAACATGGTCTCCATTTATGCCTCTTTCAGTGTGTATGTGTAGTAGCTAGTGATGTACTAACACCTCCGTCATCACCTCCCACAGGGTGCCAGGGCCTGAGGGTGAAGCAGGTGGTGGTGCCGCCCCATGAGATCAAGGGGAAGGGCGTGGAGCTGGAGTGTCAGTATGAGCTAGACGGGGACCAACTCTACTCCCTCAAGTGGTACAAAGGCATCAAGGAGTTCTTTCGCTACGTGCCCGCAGACACCCCGCCCATACAGGTGTTTGACCTGCCCGGCGTCCACGTCGACGTGAGTATTGTGATGAATGTTTAGGAGGGGGAGGAGGGGTCGTGTAGGTATTTGACCTGCGGTGGTGGTGGTTGATGAGGTGGTAGGTCATACATGTGTTTGACTTATGATGTTTATTGTTTAGATGAAATGCTTAAATATAAATTCCAAAGCCAGTATTCTTTTAGATTCTTGTTGTTGTTACTGTTATGGGTAGTGATGTACTGGTGTAGTCGTGAAGTGGTTAGGTATAGTGTAACAATGTGGTAGTGTGGTGGTGAAGTGATGAAGTCGTAAGGTAGAGTGGTAGTGTGGTGGTCCAATCATCTGGTATAGCTGGGACCAAAGGGGGGAAGGGATCAGGAGTACGAGGGGGAAGGGGCCAGGAGGAGGAAGGGACCAGGAGGAGGAAGGGGCCAGGAGGAGGAAGGGGCCAGGAGGAGGACCAGGAGGACCAGGAGGAGGAAGGACCAGGAGGAGGGAAGGGACCAGGAGGAGGAAGGGACCAGGAGGAGGAAGGGACCAGGAGGAGGAGGAACCAGGAGGGAGGAAGGGACCAGGAGGAGGAAGGGACCAGGAGGAGGAAGGGACCAGGAGGAGGAAGGGGCCAGGAGGAGGAGGAAGGGACCAGGAGGAGGAAGGGACCAGGAGGAGGAAGGGACCAGGAGGAGGAGGAAGGGGCCAGGAGGAAGGGACCAGGAGGAGGAAGGGCCAGGAGGAGGAACCAGGAGGAGGAAGGGACCAGGGAGGAGGAAGGGCCAGGAGAGGAAGGACCAGGAGGAGGAAGGGACCAGGAGGGAGGGCCAGGAGGAGGAAGGGCCAGGAGGAGGAAAGGAAGGAAAGAGCCAGGAGGAGGAAGGGGCCAGGGGAGGAAAGAGCCAGGAGGAGGAGACCAGGAGAGAAAGGGAAGGGAGCCGGGGAGGAGGAAGGGACCAGGAGGAGGGAGAGGAGGGGGAAGGGAGGGAGGAAGGGCCAGGAGGAGGAAGGCCAGGAGGGGAAGGGCCAGGAGGAGGAAGGGGCCAGGAGGAGAAAGGGACCAGGAGGAGGAACCAGGAGGAGGAAGGGGCCAGGAGGAAAGGGAAGGAGGAGGAAGGGGCCAGGAGGAGGAAGGGGCCAGGAGGAGGAAGGGACCAGGAAGAGGAAGGGCCAGGAGGAGGAAAGAGCCAGGAGGAGGAAGGGACCAGGAAGGAAGGACCAGGAGGAGGAAGGGGGGGACCAGGAGGAGGAAGGGGCCAAGAGGAGGAAGGGACCAGGAGGAGGAAGGGAAAGGAGGAGGAAGGGACCAGGAGGAGGAAGGGGCCAGGAGGAGGAAGGGCCAGGAGGAGGAAGGGGGACCAGGAGGAGGAAGGGGCCAGGAGGAGGAAAGAGCCCAGGAGGAGGAAAGAGCCAGGAGGAGGAAGGGGGAAGAGGAAAGAGCCAGGAGGAGGAATGGGGGCGTAAAGAAGCAGCAGGAGGGGGAGGAGAGGAAAGAAGGGTTGCCACTCCCAAGTTTTGTCATCAGTTAGAGGAAGTTTAGATCCATTAGCGGGAGTTGGGAGCGTCTTTCTCTCTCAGCTCAACTGTTACTTCTCATAACACGTGAGGGAGTGTGGCGCAGCGTCCCCAGGTAGTAATTTGGTATTATCCACGTGTATGCGGGAATGGTGTGCGTTGATTGGTCTTTAACACAGCATGACATTGGCAAAACGTCCCACTCAGTACAGTAATTTATTAAATACCACACTTAATACACCAGTCTAACCTGACTTAAACCAACCAATTTTAATTATACCCTAAACTAATTTAACCTTTATTTTTAACATAATATAACTTAATTTATCCACCAAGTCTTCGATTTTGTTTGACTTCACTATTTCCACTGATCAGTCCACATCTACGGGAGACGTATATTGGACCATTAACTGTGTTAGGGGCACTACCTCCGGGGCAGCGCTCTACCCACAACCTGCTGCCCGTGCTGAGGGGCTCACTCACACATGGCAGGAGACTGTATCCAACACTGAGCTATACGTACTGCTGTAAGGGACCTGACCCTCGCCCTACAAACACCGTCGTCAGGTCATTTGTGAGTGCCAAGTCCTTCCCGCTGATCCTGACGTGTCCTTCACTCTGCGAGAATTAGCTAATAAATGCAGTTCAGAGCGAAGGGTCCACTGCACCTGGAGACGATGGCATAACATTATGTTCTAAAGGCTCTTGTTGCCACCCCTGGTGACCCTTTCTTTGTCTTTGCAAACTCTCTATGCCAAGAAACAGCAGCCTCAAGCATGGAAACCTGTCACTACCGCCCACGCCAGGCAAACACGACGATTATCGCCCAATTTCTCTCATCTCCTGCTTCTCCAAGATAATGGAACACCTGATTCGATACTCCCTACACTGGAAGACTGACACTTGCCTGCATCCAGATCTACATAATTTTCGCCCTGGGAAGAGCACTGTTCCTTGCATCGGTCACCACCTCAACCAACACCTCCCTATTTGTTGATTTCCAGGGTGCGTTTGATAAAGCTAATGGTGATGTGATCCTTGAGGGCCTCACCCACATAGACGTGAAGGTCAAACTCCTCACTTGAATTACAGTCTACCTCTATCATCAACAGACCCGTGTTCGTGTCTAATAGTCTTCCCTTCTCCCGAGGTCCAGCACTCTGGTGACCTTTGAACCCGGAAAGGTCAGTGAGTCGTCAATGAAAAGTTTCAGAGCGCCAGTTTTTACCCCCCCCCTACCTGTGGTATATACAGTATCTTTACTATCCCTCTAACTGTAGCCTCTACGGTATACTGTAATGTAATTTATAGTTTACATGTGAGGGACTCGACGGAAAGATTATAGAATAATTATACAACATTAATAATAATCTTAATAACATCTACAAGTTGTATAATCCTTGAAAATAATAGCGAGAATTATAAAGACGAAATTAACTAATTTACCTAATATACAGTACAACAGTACGGCAATAATAACCGAACGTCAACAACACACCACCAACCACAACAACTCAGGAGAAAAGGTCAAGAAAAACTCACAACTAAGGTGAAGTTTTTAAACAAGATATTGGTTCAATTAATTAAAGATTACTATCGAGTTAAATAATTAAAGACATTTTGAATAGCGATCGTGAGTGACTTGAGACGATGTTGACTGACTCTAATTGACTCATATTTCTCTATTAAATTTTATCTTACGGACGTGTTGTTGAAACACCATATGGGGGAACGATATCGTGTTATTGTGTCTATATACTGTATAAACTCGCCGTCTTTGTAGTATCTTCTAACCTAACCAAACCTAACCAAACCTAACCAAACCTAACCTAACCAAACCTAACCTAACCTAACCTAACCTAACCAAACCTAACCAAACCTAACCTAACCTAACCTAACCTAACCAAACCTAACCAAACCTAACCAAACCTAACCTAACCTAACCTAACTTAACCAAACCTAACCTAACCTAACCTAACCAAACCAAACCTAACCAAACCTAACCAAACCTACAGTAACCTAACCAAACCTAACCAACACTAAGTCAACCAAACTAAACCTCACCTCTTCTTCATGTCTTTCTCTCCTCCTCCTCCCTATCATTATTTCCACGATCACTAAACTAATAAAAAACAGTTTATTACCTTCTCCTCCTCCCCCTCTCTTTAACCCCATTCGCAACACACGTCATTCTTCATCATCTTATCTATTTCACCAATCACCTCCTTCATTCCCTTACTCGTCTTGTCTTGAAACTCCCAGCCACTACACACTAACAATTAAAATAGTCTCATTTATTTGGTATTAACCCGTTTATAATTGTCTTTTTAGTGCGAAATTAGTTCAAGTATTAAATGGCTACGATACAATAAGTTCGAAACTCCATTATTTTATAGTACTACAGTAATACCTCCCTTATGTCTATACATAATATTCAGCCGCTAGACGCATACTAAAACACGATCAAAAATAATTATTCAACGCACGAGCAGCCAATCGCAACAAACCAATGGACGATAGCGTAGTCCTATTGGTTGGCAAGGGAACATTCTTTCGACTCTTTCGGGCCTCGGAAAGTCGGGGTAATTCACCGATAAATTTGGGGTAAAATATTATTATGTAGATGTGTGTGTGTGTGTGTGTGTGTGTGTGTGTGTGTGTGTGTGTGTGTGTGTGTGTGTGTGTTGTTGTTTGTTTCAGTAGAGGTTTGTGACAGGGCGGCCAATATTACTACCACTATTTTTCCTGGCTGGTTCTATATATTTATTATTTTGTGTGTGTACTGCTGTGTAGGGATAAATTTGAGGTGTATTTATACAAGAATTCAGGCTTACGTTATAGTGTATGATAGTTTATTGCATGAAATTGGATAACTAATGCAGGAATATTTGGGACTTGATTTTAATTGCATTACATTCCAGTGCATAAAATTGGATAACAATTGTTGGTATTACATTACAACACTGTGTATGAAAATTTATGAAATATGAAGGAACGTTTATGTAAACAAAGAGAGGAAACAAATGAGGTATAAGTGAAAACATAACAAATTGAATGGCGCTGCGTTGTAAACATTCACCAGTCAGCCATCTTTGTTTACATACCAGGGGCATTCAGGAGCTCACGACAGGCGCTAAACGAATTACCTCATTCAATTGGTTGATTTGGATTGACCTCCATGAGTGAGAGATATGTTCCTATCCTGAAGCGAAGGAACATTATCTCGAGGTGAAGATTTGTGGATGAAAAACGTGAGTGGCGATACGTCTGGCAGTAAAAATTCAGTGATTTAGTAGATGGGTATTGACCATTACGTCGCTGCTGTTGGTAAGAGATACTGATTCACTTACTCACTCCCTCGGTATATCAAGTTTGTTAGTTTTTATCTTTGGGAAATACTCGTCACTATTATTCGAGGTTAAGAATGGTTTTCGAGCTAACACTATTACCAAGCAGCTAAGAGATGCCCTGGTGTTCTCATAAGAACATAAGAAGAACATAAGAAAATAAGGAGTCTGCAATAGGCCGGT